GTTACTTCTCATAAAATACATTCATGCTAGGAACCCCACCCTCTCCTTAGAAACATATAACAGAGATTGTAAACTGGTTGTAGCTGATCATGTGGACGAGTATGCTTTTTGTTACGATATACCCCCGTTTATCTTCATTTGAGAACTTTTAGAAGGTATTGTTCAAGTAAGACTTGTAATGCAATACAAATAGCCCTTCATCTGTTAACAAATTTCTTTTCTTCTTCAAAGCTGTGCGTTACTAAGACTTTGCTTATAGACACTATATTTCGCAAGGAATTAGTCAACAAACACTTCTCAACGCTCACGCTCTTTTTTCATTCCTTTGCAATGACTCTCATCTTGTGAGAAAACAGAAATGACGCGGAATATAATACTAATACCTAACTACTCTATGATCCTTATACTCTTCCTACTCCTCCTTATATACTTTCTTTACCTTCTTCTTCTGGGTTACTTAATTTTTATATTATGGATATATTGCTAAAATATATCATTATTTTACTCACTCCTTATACTTTATACTATTTTTAAAATTTATCAATATTTAATATACTTTGTATCTCTACTTCTTATCATACATCAACATCATCATTCTCACTCTTATTTCAAGCTATATTTTTGTCCTTCAATTCTTTTTACGATCAATATTAATTTCCTCTATTAGGTGTTTTTATTTTTATATTTTTTTTTATTTTTTACTATATCATATTATTACTTTCTTCTTATATATAAATTATAATTTCATACTCTATCTCTATCTGCTATTATTGGATCATATATGCTCTATTACTCTACTATCACATACGGCTACATACTTGAAATGATAAACTGTATATATAAATACCTTTGTACACCACACGTATATGCGTGCGTTGTGTGTGTGTGTTGTGTGTATGTTGTATGTATGTACATTTATGTCTTATACTCCAAATTCACTATCCCACACCCCCATGCTTACTTTTTGCTCGTATGTGTGTTACTATATACTTGTTATTTACCATATATTATATATCCTACCTCTTCTACTATCGCTTCCTTATATATACTATATATCATACTCCATCGACACACACACCATATACATGTGTGCTGTGTTGTGTCGCGTGTGTGGGTTGTCGCTGCCTGTTGTCGTCGCTTTTTTGCACGTTTCGTTCGTGTCCCGCTTCGTTGCCTTGTGTGTTGCCTTGTGTGCTCTGCTCGATGTCGTGCTGTCGTGTGTGTGACCGTTTTCCCCGCCTGCTGCTTCGTCTGTGCTCTGTATTTAGCTTCTTGTTGCTTTTGTCCTCTTTCCTCTTCTCTAACGGTGCGCTGGCTCGCTCGTGTTTGCTGTGATCTGGGTAGTGTGAACTCGTTAGATAGTGTTGTGTGTGTTTGTGTTGTGGTGCTTTTGTTCGTCGTGTACTTATTTTATATCATCAGTTCACTCTATTCTTATACTATAGCGAAAGCCACACCACACACCATATATCACATATATCGTATTATACCAAACTTTCATATGTTATACTCTTTCATACTGTATATCACTATACATATATTATATCACACATCGGTATGTATATGTATATCTTTCTCTCTCCTCCATATCATACTCTTCAATATCTATGTGTGTGCGTTTTATATATACATTAACTTCTCTATCTATCTATCTAATCTCTATCTATCTATCTATCTATATTTAATATTTACTTCTATCTCTATATTCATATATATTATATATATTATATATAATAAGATGCCAGGATTGCCTCCAAGCATTCGTGTTTACCTGCTCCAGAGGCGTAATGCCTGAAGGTCACCAAGAGAGGTCGGTCGTGGATGCCAAGGGACAGCTGGTCGGGTTGGAGAGGTGTTTCCTCTTAACTTTCCGACGGACGGAAGTTTCTCGAATTTGCCATTTTTTTTTCTGAACCCTTGTTGCTGATGTTGTGATTTGGGTTATAAGAGCAAACACTCGTAGATGAATGATGGGCAGTATTTTCGATGGTCCATTTTCTAGGATGCTCCAAAGCAAGTCTCGGATTCATTTTCAAGGTTTGGGGAAGATTCGTACCACCTCTCAAACGCTTGTGACGACAATTTCCTACTTAATATAAGTTTACTGTACAGAGTGTATAGCACACACCACCCCATACACACACACACACGACACGCACAACACACACGCGCGCCACACGCACATCCATTCACTCACACTCACAACCCACAACACACACACATCACACAACACTACACACACACACACACAACACAACACACACCCACACAACACACACCCACACAAACTCACACACACACTCTACGTACGCGTATGTTTATATGCCACGTGTGTTATCAGCGTTTCTTGGGCACTACACTTCATATGTTTATATATTTTGTTTTATCTGAGTGTATTTCTCTCAACGTATCTACCATCTACCAGACATAAAGCTAAGAAAGGTTAAGCGCAGGTGTCATAGGAGAAGTCGCCGCCGTGGCTTGGATGGCAGAGGGCAGCACCGCGGTTCATTAGGGAAGGCACCCAATCAGTCAAGGATGCTGCTGCCAAAAACCTCCCAGATGTGGATTGATGAATTGAGAAAGGCCTAACTCGTCCAGTGGAATGAATGGCTCTAGAATAATTATGATAATAAAAAAATATATATATATATATATATATATATATATATATATATATATATATATATATTATATATATATATATATATATTAATATACATTTGCACTTTTAAGAAAATGAAACAGAATTTAGAATTTGACCACATTTAATACCATAGTACACTCTAACAGTGTGTTGTAAACTACGCTCAGAACTAAAAGGCAATCCTCAATGACGATACATTTACATTTAGAAGCATACGCCTTGGACTCAGAACGGGCTGGCTGGCGTACCGATGAAAGACGGGTTCGCTGGATCCAAAACAAAACAAATCTAGGCGAAAAAAAACTGCGATATCTTGCAATATCTTGATAGTTGATGACGGAGTTCCTGCACCACTTTGATGATGACTTGTGTGTAGCCTTCCTCGTCGGGGTCACTGGACCGAATCAGTACGTTCCTTCGATGACGCTGTTGATCCAGTCTATGTAGGCTGTGGAGGTAATGCAGAATTATTGGATCAAATTTAAGGAGGATTTGTATATGAAAAATAACTTTACTACTATGTGAAGCAAACAAACTAGTGGGGCGTCAGGTCACGTAAAACTTTAGCAAAACTTTAGGCTATTTCCATGAGCAATTGAACAATTAATCTCCAAGATATAAAGTTCGATTGCATGAATTACTTATAAACTTCGTGCATAAAAGTATCGTCTTTCTAGGAAGATTTTCAATTTTACAGCAAAGAAACTACGCGTGGCTTCTCCCGCCTTACTGCATGACATGACCCTCTGGTGTGTGACTTACAGGTGAGTCTTGTGTACACTCCAGGGGTCCCAACGCCGGCACACCCGCTGCCCCAAGACACGATGCCGATCTGCTCCCAGCGCCCATGCTTCGGGTTGCGGTGCACGAGGGGCCCCCCTGAGTCGCCCTGCCACATTTCGTCAGAGATTGTAAGAACGGGAAAATACATTGGTGGGAATTCGAGATACCATGGCGACCATTTCAGAAGGGTTATTGTTATCTGATATTGTCTCTCTCTGACACAGACACACATTTATATATGTGTATGTATGTATGTATCGATGCACGTATGCTAACAATATCGTACAATTGAAGCTTTTACAAGCCAAGAGCTGAACTGACGACTCACCTGACACGAATCCTTCCCTCCTCTGGGGTATCCTGCGCACAGCATATTGTCCGTAAGGTAGTCGCCGTATGCCAGGCGACACTTGGCGTTGGTCATGGTTGGCACGTCCACCTCCATCAGCACGTTCGACGGCTCGCCATCTGTGGCAGAATCAACATCGGGTTTGAGAACGAAACGGAGCAGCTGCCGCCTTTTTCATAATTCAGATTCTGTGAAGAAAGCGCGGTTAGGGCAATTTTGATTATAATTGCAGTTGTCAATCAATGTGTGTGTGTTTGTGTATGCGTGTGTGTGTGTGTGTGTCTATGTGTGTGTTCAAAATCCAGAATATGTTCACTAATAAGTAAGCGCACGTCAGTGAGGTGATTGGGTGAATGAAATCATTAGTAGCGCATTTAACAATATAAAAACATATTTTGAGTTAATCTCAATTACTGACTTATCTAAAGGACACTGTGCAAATATGTCTCTATTTATCTGCATGCATACATGCATAAAACGACAATAACAACTACAACAACAATAACGACACTCCAACTGATGATAGACCAAGAACAAGGAGGAGGGCAGAAGGCGTCTCACCGTCCTTGAGCGTGCCCCAGCCCGTCACCGTCCCCGTCACGTTGTCGAAGAGGCCGCTGGGGTCCGGCAGGCACACCCGGCCGACCCTTTGGCTGAACTCGATCGGGTCCACCTCCAGGAAGGCGATGTCGTTGTCCAGCTCAACTGCGGAGGGAAAGGGGCCAGACCGACGTGTGTAAATATAGGTTTTATGAATGTGAACTATATATATATATATATATATATATATATATATATATATATATATATATATATAATATATATATATATACGTATATATGTTTTATGAATGTGACCTATATATGAACTATATATATGTGTGTAAATATATGTTGTATGGATATGAAGATATGTGAACCAACACTATTGCAATTGAGAAAAATAAAAAAAAAAAAGATACTACGCCAACACTCTTGAGAAACATTGACTTTTTATTTTTTCATTCCCCAAAAAGGCCATTTTATTACGTGGATTGTAGTTTTCGTGCAGAATGATGCGCTGAATGCGGAGGTTCTGCTGGATGACCGACGGCGCAGACAAGATGTAGGCTCCCGCAAGCACCTTGAACCGGGACTCTTTGCCGACCATGCTGTGGATCGCATTGCACTGGCCGTCAGTATGCAGTGTACACCAAAGGACCGAGTATATTGTCATGAACACACGCACACACACACACACACACGCGCGCGCACGCACTCACACATTCTGGACGTTAGATTACAAAATGTACGGCCTGCTTGGATAAAAGAAGGCTCGCTTTACAGGCTTTTGTGGATTGGACGAAAGTACTGCACTCCCGTTGCTATGACGTCTTTTAAAAAACACCATACTACAGTATAATGCGTTAAGATCAATGAATATGATTATCGTCTTATCTAACACTGAACAATAATATGGTGGTTCTGTATACATCTTTATTTTGAACCAGAAGCAAAGCGTGGTTAAGATTATCACTTGGTTTATTTTCCTCTTTCATTTCTGATCTAACTCTGATTAGCAGGTACTTTCATCCTGATAAATTATTACCCAGAACAAACCCTACAACATGGCACATACAAATCTGTAGTAGAAACATACGAAAACACACACAGACATACACATCAGATTTAGAGATGATTCCGGGTAGCCTCTGAATTGGCCTCTCACCTTGCGGCACAATGTGCGGCCGTGAGGATCCACTTCTTGGTGATGATGGAGCCGCCGCAGAACACATTGCGGGAGCTGGTCTGCACGAGGCCCACCTGCCAGGGGTACTCGTACGGGGTCGCCTGCTCACCGCCGACGATCCGCGTTATGCCAAAGACATCGTATTTTTCTCCACAGCGTGTCTGCTTTTCTGTGGAATTTTTATAATATGTTATTTACTTACGTACATATGATTTAATCTACGATGCTATGTTATATTATTTACACCAAGTACGGGGAAATATTTTATATCTTAGGAAAGCATTTAGTTGGCATCATCCGAGGCCATTTCCAATAGCGTCTACAAAACTTATCGAGAGGCACTCCAAGATGGCTGGATTCATTTATGGACTGGAATTCTTCTGTCCATGAATCAATTTATCAATTCCCTAAACCAGCCAGTATCATCAACCAACCCCAATGATCGCAAACCACTGGGATTCAAAAGGAGGTGCTATTGCAAAGGGCAAATAAACGCTGAAAAAAGTGCGTGAAGCCCAGGGCCTAGGAGGAGCCGCCGTACCACAGTGGGGTCGTGAGGTCCCACTGCCCCGGTGAGTCGGGCCAAAGGGTTCCTTGTATTGGAAGGTCACCGGCGAGAGATTATCAAAATGGCCCCCAAACGCATCAAGAACAATGAGAGGGTATGCTGCACTCTCCCACCTGGTCCATTCCATCACGGGCTATGCTACTAGGAGACAGGAGGACCGGTGCTCGAGTGGTGGTGCATATAATACCCGTACACCCCTTTGGTCCCCTAATCCAGTAGTACATGCAAATTGATTTAGGCTCGGTCAAGTTCAATTCAACAATCATGTATGGCTCGGGTTAAGTGAGCACCACCCCATCAGCACTTTACACGTCCTCCAACTACTTATTAGTACAAATGCTACTCATTAATACTCTTATGGTTGCTGGGTTGATTACATTGTCCAATCTATTGCATGCCCTTGTTAGTTAGCGCTGTATAAAAAAAAAAAAAAAAAAAAACATACTATTTATTTCAATGATAACCTAAGCAAATCCGTAGCCAAAACCTTTGGAATTTCACTTCTTGTCAACATCACATCTAAGAAATATTCACTGATCACGAGAGGGAGTGTATGATAGGACCTGGAAGCATGGGATACTCTTGAAGCTGTAAGATACTGACGAGAGGAACAGATACCACTTTCTGAAAAAGCCTTCTTGCTGACAGGAAAGTAACAGCTACAGCAACCAGGGGAATTATCTGAGAATGGTACCACAAGGGAATCTCCCAAGTGTTCTGGGACCGTCTCGTGTAGTATGTATGTAGCACTCACGGGTACACTAGAATACATGTAGGCTGCTGTAAATGAGGTACAAACTGTGACTATGCATTTCCACAAAAGAGAATATTTCAATACCCTTCTGAGGAGGAAACTCGCCATGCCGTGTCCAAGTGATGTTCTTGGATCTAACTTTAGCACTTTTTCTCTCAGTACAAGTTTTGCGAGCATAGGTGATCTGAGGCTTATTGTCACTACCCAAGCGTGGCTCATGTCATTGCAGCTCATCACCACGAGCAACGATGACAAGCTTGAACATCTATGGCCAGGTGGGCCTAGGAGTGCTGATGGCCTTCGCTAGTGTCCCCTTCAACAGATATGTATAATCTTATCATAAACTGGTTTGTTTTTATACGAATAATAGTCCTATCATAAATTGGTTTGATTTTATACGAATAATAGTACAGTCAAACTTCGGGTCAGGAACGTCCCTATTCACGAACAAATTGGGCCACGAACACCATTTCCGAACAAATTTTGCTTCGAATCGCGAACGATGCTTATGCACGAACGCACATACACACAAGCACACAAACTGGCGGGCTTCCGAACTGCGAGAGGCGTGCGGTAGCGTCAGTTTTACCACAGAACATCGAACTATTTCCCAAGAGATAAAGAAGAGAAGAAACTCAAGAAATACCCACAGAGTCCTGGCATGCTAATGTGGAACAGGACTCTCCCTCGAAGGCCTATCCCTCGATGGAGTAGGCGTCCTCCTCCCCCTCCTCTCCTCCTCCTCCATCCACGTGTGCCAGCAATGATCAACCACAAAGGGAGAGCGCACTGTGCAAATACTGTTTTATTATAATATTACTGTATTTCTATAAGGTTATCTTTAATTCCTTTCTGCATTTTTCCCACACATAAACCCATAAAGTTACAAAAAGCCATGTTTCCAAGGCCGATGTATTAATTAATTGAAATTACATTAATTTGATTGGGAAAATAATTCGGTTGTTGAACGGAGTCAAAGAACGAATTAAGTCCGTAACCCAAAGTAACTGTAAATGGTTGCAAAATTGTCCCGCTGTGTATACTAAGTCGGTCTATATACATATATTCATTACTTTATTTCATTTTCTCTGTATCTTTAATATGTTTTGATCTAATTATGTGCATCCATCTACCAAGTCTGTCAACTAGCCAGTCAGCCTATCTATCTATTTATCTATCTTGACTTTGAAAAGACGTTGATTTGAAGCCACATAGTAAAGTATGAAATACAAAAACGGTCATAAACCCTGCAGAAAGATACATACCTGTAGAATTAGATACCTGGGTACCTGCACCCGAGCCTTCAACAATTGGCTGGAGTTTATTTTTTAACACTGTTGCGGTGACAGTGCAGTTGAATCCAGGCATGAGGCCATCTTCTGACCTGAAGTTCAACACCAAGTCATCTGTGGCATTGAAAACGGGAGCTTTTGAACCACAGTACCTGAGTGTGACAGATGGACATGTGTCAGAGGTCTGTTAAAACACATGCATATATGAACAAATCCACATAGTCACATGCACATATGCACAAACACACGCACGCATACGCACACACACACACACACACACACATACATATATGTATGTATGCATGTAGGTGTGTAACAGAGAGAGAGAGAGAGAGAGAGAGAAGAGAGAGAGAGAGAGAGAGAGAGAGAGAGAGAGAGAGAGAGAGAGAGAGTGTACATTTATGTTATATATATATATATAATATATATATATATATATATATATATATATATATATATATATATATATATATACATATGTACATATGGATTACTATATGGCCTTGTTTTAACCATATTTACCAATATCTTAAATCTGAATGAAAACTGTCACAGAAAATGGCATTTCAGCTCTGACATTATAAAAGCGAGGCACTGTCTGGCATTTGACTTGTTCTGATTAATTGAAGTGAAATGACGCGCAGACGCCCAGGTGGCTGCCAGCACACGAACAACTCCCTAAACTGTGGTCTGTAGCAAAGCTTATTCAAACTGATATGAAAAAAAAGTGACAATCGAGAATCTCCTTTTATTCAACCGAAAAAAAAGTATGTTGGCTAAACTGGCCATAAATTTGTTTGACCAACTAACTCTCTCCCTTTTCTCTCTGGTCGCTGTTTACGAAAGAGACTGGTTCATGACACCACCAATTTTCGTATAAGGTTTACGTTTCATACTTGCTGTAATAACACTCACTTAACAACTAGTATTCGGCTAATTGGTCAATTAATCAGATTAGGGAAGGCGTTAGTCATAACTTCTTTGCAGTCATAAGCTGAGTTTGAAATAGTTATCATTACATCTTCAGAAGAGATTTGCGCCTTTCCTTTTGTTTATTCATATCTTTTGGAGTAGCACGAGACTTATTTGAATATTAAACTATACACTGAATAAGGAAGAGGTAAAATCTTTTTCTGATAACCTTCGGAGGTGAACTCATGAAAATAATGAGAATTATAATAAAGGTATTCTCAAAATGTGGGCACGCAGTTCACTCTGAAAAGTCCACCATCTTTCGCAAGAATTTTAGAGTCGATATAACAAGATTAAACTAAATCCCTTGTACAAATCGCCAATACGGTTTTCGTCCAAAACTGATTCTAATTCGCAAAATCTCCTTCAATGTTATTTATGTCGGGAGCATAGGGTACTATGAAATGACAATATCACGTGATCTATTAAAAGCTTTAACACTAGCTTTATACAACCCGAGATCGCAATGTAAAGCAACAGACGCTCTTAACCTTTCAAAAAATCATTTCGCAACACGAGGAACTGTTTCAGGTGTCAGAGAGTCGCTACCAAGTTGGAAGACGATTTATGCATTGTACTTCATTTTTTTTAAATCGTTTACTGCCTTAATCCTATTCATGGCATGTCACTGTTCCAATTATATTTTTCATGTGGCAAAATGTATCTAACACGTACATGTTAATCATCTAAGACAAATTGCAGCAATGGATATCATCAACGTCACCTAAATGAAGTCTCGGCAAAATCGAAGTCTGGAGTAAACAAAAGACGCAGCCTGTAACACTGACACCAGTAACCCTAAGCTTTTTTTTTCCTCAAGACGTATTTTCAAGCTGTATTGCGTCCTTGCGGGTTAATCTTTTTAGAGTCAGTCTAAAGAGCGCCAGGTAGGCATCCCACGATCTTT